GAATAAGGCCAGGCGCGCCTTTGTCGATTCAAAGACTATGTTCATGATAGGAAATTTATTTTTATTAATAATTTAAGTAATTTTATTATTGTAAAAAAGAAAAAAAGTTACGAATTTTACTTTTTCAGTTAATTTTGTTAAATAAAAAATTCTAGAGATATTTATAATTTTTCAAATGATAGGAATAATTTGTATTTCAAGCAAAACTCATGGGAGTATTTATAATGGAGGAGAATTCCCTCCAATCCAAAATTTGGACTAGAGGGGTCTGTTTTGGCCCATAGGATTCATCACGGGTTCCGTTTCGATAATCCAAATTTTTTTGTTGTTGAGTATTTTATGTATTTCATCTACACAAAAAATTAAATCAATTCGATAATTATAACTTGTTCAATTTATCATGTTTTTCACTAAAAAAAATAGACGATAATTGTATTTTTAAAAAATAAATCATATATTTTATTAATAATAAAAAGAATAAATTGAACCAGTTGCATTTATCGAATTAATTTTTTTTTGTATGCGAATAAAATATACAAAATATTTGATAAATAAATAATTTAAATTATCAAAACAATACCGTAAGGGCATGTTTGATTAGGTGGATTAGAGTATGGGATTGAGATTATTAATCCGTGGGCCCAATTATCCTATGTTTGTTTTAGCATTTTGGTTTAGGATTATTAATCCAATGGATAATTAATCCAACAAATTTGTAGGATTATTAGTAATGGGGTAGAGGTAAGATTATTAATCCAATGAATATTAATCCAATTGGATAGTGAATACCATACTAATTTAATAAAATTATTAATACTTTACTATTACTCTTGTGAATCAAACATGACCTAATAGATCTCCCGAGCCGAAATAATCCCCTCCAAAGATTAGGTTGATTCTTGAGAGTGCGTTTGGTCCAATTGTTTTGAGAAATATCGAACACGTGAGCTTCATTCAAATGGTATTAACCAAACACAGCCCAACCAAAACTAAAACTAAAACTAAACCAGCATATAAACCAAACAGGCATAAGCATTAGATCGGTAAAAGGGCAAACATGTTCGTGCATCTTCTTCTTGGAGGGCGTCGAAGTCGTCGACTGCGACGTCATCATCGATCGTCGCCATCAAGTTATTTTCAAGAAAAACGGTACGAGAGATCGCTGTGGTTTCGCGCCAATACTCACAAAAGTAACATGAAGTGGTACGCGGTCGACATTTCGAACCAAGATAGTAGTGGTGTCGATGATGAATGCAAGAAATGGAACAATTGCGTGAAAAGAGGAGAGAAGAACAAATTGAAACTCATCCCAATCTCGAGAAAGAAATATTTCGATAGCACCTTAGTTTGTTTGGATTCCACTATCTATTGCCTCGGTGGATTTTGTCGTGGCAGAACAATGTATGAGATTCACCCCACTAACGATGTTCGCCGATTCAAATCTGCTTCTCCCTCGCCCCGTTGGAAGAATCTGATTTCTGGTCTCATGAATGTTGGAAGAAACAGCCCCGCCGCGGTGGTTCTGGGTGGAAAATTGTATGTCATGGGAGGTAATCATGTTAAAATCGTTCCCAAAGGTACTGAAAATGATACCTGGGCTGAGGTGTTTGATCCTAAGACTAAGAAATGGAGTTTTCTGCCTAAACCTACCTGCTGTGATAAGCCGCTACCTTCCGCTCGTTTTTTGTGTATGGCTCTCGAGGGTTTACAGAAGATTCTAGTGGCTGTAGCTTATTTGAACGAAGCGTATTTGTACCATGTTTCTCAAAACAAGTGGACCAAACACCCTTTGACTAAACACCTTCGCGTTGCATCGCTTGTCGACGAAACAAACATGGCGGTTTTAGGCAGTACTTTGTATTGGTACGACAAGTATAACGACACCTGTATGTACGCTTATGACTTGGAAACTGGCAAATCATTCTCGGGGAAAATTAGGGGATTTAAGAATCCAGCACGGAAGATCAGAGTAGATCCTTGTGAAATGAGGACTTTCTTATTTCATTTGACTGGCAAATGTTTTTGTTTGGTTTGGGGACAAGGGCCTACTGTACACTGCACCAAATTTGTTGTGGAGAAATCATCCTATTTGCCCATTAAACGCAAAGCCTCTCTCTGCGCTTCCGTTCTCTCATCTCAAGCTTATGATCTCGGTCCTAATACAAAGTTTTCTGATGTTGTGCTAATGTAAGTTTCTAGTTTCCTTTAATGATAATGCTGATATATCATATGTGTGTGTGTACCATTCTTTGTTGAGTAATAAGTGGGATACCATTTCATTGTAGGAATAAAAGGTGTGAATTACCTAGTTCGTCAGTGGTTGTGGAACTCAAAGAGCCAACTGAATCTACTCTGAAGCTGGACCTCATGGATGTAAATTGATTGAAGAAGCTTCTGCAAGTTGAAAAGATCTTGGTAAGTCAAAATATATGTCAATGTGCATATACTTGCCAATGTTTTTGACAACTTGGGCCTTGACTATGTATACATTTATTGGCCAATGTTTTATGAAACATGGTTTATTTGAAATTCCTTGCATGACATCTATGTTCTACTATTAGCTTAAATGTACATGTCTTCTTGGCTGCTACTATTGCCAGCACCACCCTGTTACTGAGGTAATGTACTAGCCTGTGGCTGCTGCTTTGGCATAGGGCTAATCTGGATTTTCTTTTTAGCTCTAATTAGTTAGAAGGATACTAGTGTGGGTACTGTGAGGGAAAAAATTCACACCGATTTGAAAATATGATTTCAACTAAGAGATGATCATCTACCTGTGCACACAAACAATGAACTCTACAAAATAAGACACCGGTACTGTTGCTTGACAGGTGGTGGCAGGCTGGATGCCACTTTGATGCTTAAGTCATCAATCATAGAGAAGGAAAGTATGGAATTCTTGTAAGTGGTGTCTAATGTACAATGGCATGGTGGATGACGTGTGTGGACAACTGCTAGAGGTTGTTGCCTATGTATAATGAAGTCTGCCTCTTGGATAATTCCTTTCCTAGTTGGCATCATCCTAGGATGGTCGAGTTTTAACTCACCTTTTATATCTAATAAGAGGATAAATTCCATCTCTTAATACTTATGATAGAATTTAGTTCTTATTAGATATAGTTCATATCGTCTTTGGATTTATATATGTTTATAATTATGTATTTGCCTTTTGACTATAATTTGACACTGCCATAGGTGTGGACCTATCTTGCCATGCGATGTGGCCTTGGCCAAAATCACCCAATACCATCTTGGTGAAGCCAGGCCGTTGTGGATCCCTAGCTAATTTTTTCCTTCTTCATATGCCCCCTAGCTTCCACTTATTGTACCGAGAAGAGAGTGGAATCTTCTTTGTAGTTGGTTGGCAGCGGCACTGTATGCCTATTCATCGGAGTTGTTGAGATGATGTTCATAAAGCTCTTCACATTCATAATTCTGTTTAGAAAATTGTTTAGGTTCTAGGTGTAGATGCCATATATCTCCCCAGTCTTTTGATCTTTGATGTTTAGGTTCTAGGTGGATGTGGGTTAGAACCAATTGCGTCATTTCCTGTTTTTGTTGCAATGTGTTGTCCATGAAATATATTTTTCTCTAAAAGGTAGACTATTGTGTTTTTATCCTGATCAATTAGTTTGATTTATGAAAGTGTGATGCCCTGTAATTAAGAGTGCTCTCAGATTGAATGAAAATCTGTATGGCAACAAGAAGTTAGAGAAAAAAAGAAGTGACAATAATAATTGAGGAGAATTGCCTTCATATGTTTAGTTTGTTAATATCATTGTTGAGTTTGTTTACTCTATTATTTTCACTTAAACTTGGGTCATTCAACTGTGGGGATGGAGAGGATGTGTATGTGTGGATGCGACTGTTGCCATTTGACATGATTAAATTTGTAGATTTGGCAAATTACAGGGTGTAAAAGTTATGTCAGGAGAAATCTCCACACATTATCATCATGCACACAAAATATGTTTACTTGGTTAAATTATAAAACACTTTATCTTGAGCACCAACACACACAAGATAATAAATAAATAAAAAGTATGGTAGTGAAAATGTCACACAAGGATATTAATATATCCCTTTTGACATTTTTTTTTCCTTATCGGATAAATCATTCTCATTTTTTCTTATCTGATTTCTCACTATCTCCCCTGCTTTTCCCCTCAATTTTCACTACAAACTCCCCTTCACCCCTCAACAGTCCGCTTACTCTCAACTCAGTTTATCTATTTTTTTTAATCTGTATCTATTCTTTCTCTAAGCTAGTTGTTTGTCAGATTTAAGAAGATACTGATTGTTGTCAGTATCTCAACAGTCCGCATCGTGTCAGTTTCTGATTCATTTACAGTAAGCCATCAAAGACCCAGCCCCTTTCCACGTCATTGGAGGAAAATTTGGAGGTGATGTTTTAGGGGCCTCTAGCATGCCTCAGCAGTGATGTTTTAGGTTACTAGGTGATCATGTGATTAGATGTCCGAAATCTTTACCACACTAAAAAAAATTTGTAGCCTTATAAACCTTTTGATTATTTTTTAGGGTCTAGTGGGAACAAATATAAGCAGGTATTCACAATGGCTTAGAAATTATCCATAGGAGTAAGCAACCTCATGCCTAGAAGAGTTTTTGATTATTTTAGAATGTTTCTTGTCTAATGTCATCTTACTTATTTTTGTTTTCTTAAATGCATACCCTGTTTGTCATACGGTCATGTCATGGCATGTTCACGCTGACATATTTTCCATGCGTGACTTTAACCTTTCACATTAAGCTTCCAATTGGTCACGACTTCAACCCAAAATAGTTGGTAGAATAGGGATTTAAGATTTAACAACGATGTGTCTCAAATATTTGTGACTAACTTTACAAGAGCTTTATTTCTTTGGGAGGAGGATGAATTGATGCTAGCTTTGCTCTGATCATAATGAAGATTGTGCTGTGTGGAGGGAATGTTCCTCAAGCGAATTCACTGTGTATTTTCTTTATAAGTGGTGTGATGCTGCTTTGGGCCCTGTTCTGTCATCACCAAATCTATTGTGGCATAATGTTGCCCCACCCACTGCTCAATTCTTTGGGTGGTTAGCATGGAGAGGCAGGATTGAAACTG